TTGCATCATTAAACTTGAAGACTGGGTCAATCACTACATTGATTGACAGTTGTAAGGCTCCATTTTGCCTTGTAATCTATGACTCGGGTTAAAAATACTGAGCTCTTACACAACTAAGTGAAACAGTATGTACTATTATCTTTATTACTTCAATACAGAGCTGAAAGTGATGCTGTGCAGAAAAATGGAACAAGAAGGAAAGGACAAAACAAAATAAATCAAACTAATTTATTTTGTTTGAAACATTTATATGCTCCCTTTTGTTATACTAGGTTTCAGCTGCTATGCTGTGTGAAAACTAATGCAATACACTTAGGCACAATCCTTTAGAAACTCTGGCTTTGTAAGACCCACTAGCTTACAGTGAGTAAACCACTTTTGACAGAATTGTCTAAGAAATGATATGGGAGTGGACATATCTTGAAATGTATTCTCAAGCATATGCTCTTTATGACATTATTTTCATTAAATATTTGTTTGTGCACATATGAGGAGGTCTCTGATCAGACGGAGAATGTGACAGTATTCATAAAATATTTTGACACAACACATCAGAGGTTTTTTCCACTTCTACAGTCTACTCAAACACCCATCGAAAGTAACAAGATTCTTAGGCAAAACAGCCATGTTCAAAATGGAAATAATTTCTACTTTCTTCAAGAAAATAAACTCTGTTCAGGTAGCCACCCTGTTCAGGTATCTATCCCCACACCATGCAGTTAGAATGGTGTGAATGGATGAGCAGGGATGTGCTTATTGACATCACACCCTATGCTCTTGTCACTCAGCTGAGTTGCCTTTTGTGCACTGGAAGGGTAACTTCTGAAGCAAGGAGCCTCCTCTACTCATGAAGAAGGTTTTCCATGTGATTTAGAACCCTGCATGCTCAGTGTTCTAAATCACACGGTAAACCTATGTTGGTAGAGCAGGGTCCCTGGTTCAGACATTATCAATGGAACGTGTGGAAGGTGGCCTGGTGGACAAAGTGGAACTCAATAAAGGGAATGCGCTCTGCAAGTGCACCCAGGCTTTTCCACTCACATGATCTGTACGTGAAGGGTGAGCCAGCTGAACAGGGCTATATTCTTTCCAGATTCAAGGGAGGTTGAATTAGGATGCCAGTACAGAAAAGCATTCACAGCCAACAGGGCAGCGACCTGAAAATGAGAATTTTATGCCATGGGTAGGCAAACTAACGCCTGGGGGGCCAGATCTGGCCCAATCACCTTCTAAATCCAGCCTGCGACCAGTCCGGGAATCAGTGTCCTTTTTACATGAGTAGAATGTGTCCTTTTATTTAAAACGCACCTCTGGGTGATTTGTGGGGCCTGCCTGCCTGGTGTTTTTAAATGAGTAGAATGTGTGCTTTTATTTAAAATGCATCTCTGGGTTATTTGTGGGGCATAGGAATTCGTTCTCCCCCCCCAAAAAAAAAAATATATAGTCAGGCTCCCCACAAGGTCTGAGGGACAGTGGACCGGCCCCCTGCTGAAAATGTTTCCTGACCCCTGATTTTATGTCATTGCCCTGCATTGTGGAATACGCTTGCCTCTGCAATATTTGAAACATCATCTGTTAGTTACTTCAGACATCTTGTGATGATACGTCTTTTTGCTCCAGTTTTCCTTGGTCCATAAGGTTGGATTCTGTTATTACTGATTTTTTGTTTTCACCTGGGCTTAGAATTTGTTTCTAAAAAAAAACATTAGTGGTCAAGAAATGCTTTTAAATAAATTCATTACGGATAAGTCTATAATTCTATGCATGCTTGCATGGAAGCAAGTCCCATTGTATCTAAGAACTTCTTACTCCTAGAAAACTACGTTAGGATTGCAGGCTTAGTCTGAAACCTTAACTCAATTCATGTAGATCCAATTCCCACTGAATTCAACAAAATTTCCTTCTGAGTGGACATGGCTAGGATTGCAGCACAAGTCCCTAAAGGCACAATCTATGCGTTTAACGCTGAAGTATATGCTTCAGTGCTACCACATGTTTACTAAAAGCTTTATTTATTTGTGATATACCGTATTTTTCGCCCTATAGGACGCACTGGCCCATAGGACGCACTTATTTTTTTTGGGGGGGGGAATAAAGGGTAAAAAAATTATTTCCCCCCCACAGCCCCAAAGAGCAAAGAAGCCATGACAGCGAGCGGGGTGGATCCCGCTCGCTTTCCTGGCTTCATTTTTAGCCTTGGGGCTGGGGGTCCAGGAGCGAAGACAAGGTTGAGCAACCTCGCCATCGCTCTCGGAGCTTGCAGGGCTGGGGGCGGGGGAAGCCCGAGCTTCCCCTGAGCCCAGCCCCCAGAACGGGTCAGAGAGTGATGGGGAAGCTGACTGCAGCTTCGCCATCACCCTCGAAGCTTGCGGGGCAGGGGGCGGGGGAAGCCCGTGCTTCCGGCTGCAGACTGCTGCCCACAAGCCTTGCAAGCCCACGGGAACTCCCGCCGGGCTCGCAAGGCTTGCGGATAGCTTCCTGAAGCCTGGAGAGCGAGAGGGGTCGGTGCGCACCGACCCCTCTTGCTCTCCAGGCTTCAGCAAAAGCCTGCATTCGCCCCATAGGACGCACACACATTTCCCCTTCATTTTTGGAGGGTAAAAAGTGTGTCGTATAGGGCGAAAAATATGGTACCTTACCTGTCAATGAGATTGTCAGGAGATCTGGGAAATTCTGCTAATATACAGTATGTTGAAGTTTGAGTATTTATACTATGGCAAAGCACTAAAAATGCAAACCTCATCAGTTAATAATGCATAGTTGTATATGATGGAGAAATGTTCACTTTGGATTTTGTTTCAATAAATGTTCTAGAGATCTGTGTCCACTGAGCATTCCTTGTCCTTATTGCTTTTTTACTGCACTTGCTCAATGCCTTTCAATGACAAATGAGCATTTCCTTTAATCTGAAATAAAAGCACTGATATTCATTTGATGGATGTTGGAAAACAAACCATCAAGATTACAATTACATGTATCAGCAGCTTAAACCATTGTCCACATCTCAAGAATGGTCGCTGGAATGCAAATGGATTTAAGTAGATAATGAGTCTACCCAGGCATGGAAACTTTTACTTAAAACCAACACCTGTTATCTGTACTGACATCTTATTCCATTGCTCACAACAAGGCAAATGCTTAATGGATTTCAAAAGTCTGCATGGGGCAGCTGAGAGCCTTGATATAATTAAAAGCTATTGGCGCATAGCTTCAAACTTACAAGTTTTTTATACCTCACATTATTGTGCTCAATCAGGTGTGAAAATGCCCTGAAATATCACAGCTTTCTTCAGACTAGTGAACAGCTACATAACCACGTACATAAACAATGACTAAGCAGGCAATGAAGTCAGATAGCAGGAAAAAGCTACAACAAAGCTATGAAACAATAGCAATGAATAATCCCATGAGCAGTCCAGGTGATTCCTTTTTGCCTGAAAGGTGATGTGAAAAATAAGCAGGCTTTTCATATTTAAATAACTCAAAGATTACAAATGTTGCAATGATGCAGTAATATTTTCATTGTATTGGATTCTGCGACTACAACAGCCCTCACCATGCATTTAAAAAAGGTCTATATGGCACTACAACTTTATAAAAGACATCTCAGCATTCACACATTCCAGTTCCAAATATAAGAACGGATCTAGATGACCTCCACAACCAGCTCCAACTCCTGTGCCAACTGAACCCTTTCCTGGACAAGGATAGCTTGGCCACTTGGTTTGCATGGTAACCTCATGTTGGAAGTACTGTTAGCGAGCATGATGTGGGACTTCCCTTACAGTTTGATCCAGAATGATTTACAGATATATCCTGGCCTTGGATATCAGGTTTATGCTTACTTAAAGGCAGCCCCCCTCCCTAACCTGAAACAGCTACTCCCAAGCCACAACAGCAGATACAACAGAGATGGGGGCTGTGACATTAACATATGAGAGTGCTGGAGGTGAAATAGTTAAACAAGTTACCCAATCAGAACCTAGGGGGGTGGAGTCAGAGGGACTATAAAACCAGCTCTGGGAGGGGCAAAGGGGGAGTTTGTTGGGAGTTGGGTGGTTGGTTGGAGTGAATTGGGATAGAGTCTGTGGGTAGGTTGAGTTAGTGTAGCGAAATAAGCTGAGTCAGAATCAGTTAGGGGCTAGGAAGACAAGTAAATATCTTAGAGGTGGTTTACTGAGAGCAGGTAGCGGAAGTTATAGGTCTGGATAGGCACCCCATGATTGTAATTGACCAATACTGTTTATGAAACCACACACTTGTTAAACTGCAATAAATAAACAGAAGTTTATGTTCCAATTTAACCCTGACTGGACTCAGTATTGTACCAGGTAGGGCCTGGGTGGTGGCAGCGAGAAAGAAAGTTGTGGCACAGGGATCAATAGACGGTGAAACGTCCGGGGACCCTGTGTGATCGCCACAGGGGCCAGCCCCTGTGGCAGACCAGATGCCAACTCTGGCAGCACTATTACAAGGAGCTAACAATGCCACACACAACATCAGAGGCTCACTCCCTTGCTCATGTTTCCATGTGATATTTGCCATCATCCGTCAGCAATGCCTTTCTGCACATAGGGCCAGCAGGCCAGTCTCCATACAAAAGAATAAATGGGTGCAAATCCGACTTCAGTAATGTCAATATTTAAAAACCAAAAGGAGAACAATATAACCTCCCAGGACACTCCGTAACTGGCCTTAAGGAGTCAGCACTGAAACAGAAGAATTACAGAAGGAGCCTGCAATGTGGAACTTCTGAATTACAATACGTCAGAAGATTCAGCTATTGCTTATGGATTGAATCACATCATGGATTTTTTTTTTATCACACTACATGTGTTAATTGAGTTACCATGCCAGTAGGTCTGTGTTACCAGCACAGCTGTTTGTTGCAAACGACTATAGTTAATTACATAATTATCACATCATTCCTTTCTGGTTCTCATTTCCCTCTGACCTCACTGTGTTTTTTTTGTGTGTGTGTGTTTTTTAAATATTTTATTAAGGATTTTCTTGTTTTACAGAAGTGTAGTGCCTCGTATTTTTTTTTTCATGTAACATTTTTACAAATTCGTTTCATTTGTTGAGGCATTAGGGGGAGAAGAAAAAAAGAAAAGAAAAAAGAAAGGGGGGGTGGAGAGAGGGAAGATGCATGGGGGTGGGGTCGGGTGGCGGTGTTTCTATTATGTTTAATGTATGTAGAGTTTGGTGTCAGCATTGCTTGTGTTGTTCACTTGTGTTCCTTTGGTGGTGAGAGAGGTTGGGGTTGGCCTAGGGTGTGATTGTTTGCTTGTGATTGGCTGTGGTGATGTTTGTTTTCGTGTGTGAGTGAGGTGGGTGGGTGTTTTGGATCAGGTTAGCCATATTGATTTGTATGCTGTTGGTGGATTATTGTCATTGTCCTGTTGGGCTGTGTATGTGATAACGGGGAGCCATACCGGGGTGAAGGCGTCTTCTTATATCCTCCTCTCCCCGCCCAAGAAAGCCCCAGGTAAATTTATACTTGCTATTGAGGATAAGGCTTCATGCATCTGACAGTGGATTTTAGTCCAGGAGAGCATATAAGCAGAATAAATGTATTAGGCATTAAGAAGCCACAAGGCTCTTTACTTTCTGTGTGGCTCAGAGAGCACACATCATGGCATCAGCCCACCATCCTGGCTTAGGACTATAATAAACATCTGAAGTTTTGGAAATTACCATAAAAAAATTAGTAGCTTTTTCTAAAGAGTACTTCAGTAGTAACAGCAGGAAATCTGCCATTTGCATAAGGGACAATAGATAAAGGGACCCCTGACCATTAGGTCCAGTCGCGGATTACTCTGGGGTTGCGGCGCTCATCTTGCTTTATTGGCCGAGGGAGCCAGTGTGCAGCTTCCGGGTCATGTGGCCAGAATGACTAAGCCACTTATGGCAAACCAGAGCAGCTCATGGAAACGCCGTTTACCTTCCTGCCGGAGCAGTACCTATTTATCTACTTGCACTTTGACGTGCTTTCGAACTGCTAGGTTGGCAGGAGCAGGGACCGAGCAACGGGAGCTCACCCCATTGCGGGGATTTGAACCGCCAACCTTCTGATCAGCAAGCCCTAGGCTCTGTGGTCTCACACTATAGCCAGCTTAGTCAGCTACGGGACAGTGGCCAGCAAGGGCTGAAGCTCTGGGTGCAGAAAGATTGTGGACAAATCTAATTCCCCAAATCTTTGGAAATGTAGACAAATGCTTCAAATGATGGTTGACACTTGTGCTGGATTTCAGAAGGCAGAAGCAAGCCAACACTTATTGTTTTACATGCTCCCTTCCAAGGAGTGAACGAGGAGCGGGACAAAAATATACTGGCAGAGTGCAGCTAATTGCTGCTCAAATTATTATCGCTGTTGAGTGCTGGGTTTGTATGTGGAAGATCCAAGCTGAAATCTCTGCTAGGTGCCAAACTCGCTTTAGAATATCTGGTGCCCTCCGGACCTTGTGAGTTACAGTTATTGGGGTTGTAGTCCAAAAGGGCATCAGTTGGGCAGGACTGACTTAGAGAATCACTAACTCTCATATCAGCCTACCTTAGACATCTATTGCAATAATAAAATTAGGACACGTTTCAAGCCCTCGGGGAAGAAACATAAATAAATGTATTAAGCCTCCTTATGCCATCTTGCTTCTGCAGCGAACGTGATACAAAATTCTGTTTAAGGAATGCATGGCTGTGGGAACTGAATGATTGTTAAAGGTAAGGGTTTATCAATAGGACAGTGGGTGAAAATGATTTCCATAAATAAATCTACAATGTAAAATAGGTTTTGAACAAACAAAGCAGCCGGAAGGCAACGGAAAATCCGAAGGTTTTGTCATGCAATGCAGCTGGCACTGAGTGCAAATTATATACAAGCCCAGAGCTTTGTTTGTGCTCCGCCACACTGCTTCGAGGCAACATTTGTTACTTCAAATGTATTTTCTCATTTGCATAGTAAATTAAGAAATAAAATTTCTGTGTCTGCGTATCCCCCACTATTAAACCAAGTAGCCACCGGCTTATTTTCAATTGAGCTCTAATTGGACAGATACAGTTTTAACTATCTCAGCATGCTGGCAGACTCCCTGGAGAAATGTTCCTAGCGTTTCCCAGAAGTCAGTGGCAAAAGTAAAGATTAGGATTGTGCATATGAACATGTCTTCAGCAGAGCTGGCAGTGTTGTAATCAGGCAGCGGGCCAAGCTTAAACTACAAATGGGAGAAACCTTTGTGTTCATCAGAACTGATCTAATAATGCTCCTGCAACTTGCCATGGGACTGAATCCATTGACAGCAGGTTTTAGCAGCCCTCTCTAATATAGCTATTTTCTGTTCTCATTCATCTCTCAACCTGGCAAGACCATACTTTGGGGAAAAACAAATCATCATTATATAAAAATAAAACAGAGACCATGCCAAGCTATCACTTAGTATCATTAACTCTGACTCTAAATACATGGAATGAAAGGGCCTAAGCCTACCTGGGAGCCCAGCACTCACCCAGTGTAGTTATCTAAGGTTTGAGGCCTACATGTACTTGGAAGGAGAGTGGTACAGCCAGATGCTTGCCAGTTCCATCACTGAACCAAGCTCTGGCCTCCCAGCATCTGATGCTCACCAGCCTTGAGCAATGGACTGCCTCCCCTGATGCCGCCACTTCACCACAGCTGTCAATCAAGATTAGTCACTGAAGACTATTGTTCTAAAAGCTATATAGCCTGCAGCTTGCTTCACATCATGTTTCTGCTACAGAGAGGCACAGCCTTTGGAGTGGGGTCATTCCAGCCGCTGCAGTCTCCTCCATATTATCTTTTTTGCTGCAGTGGCACAGTCATTACGGTGACCCACAAGGGCTGTGGCTTCCCGCAGAGAAAGCATAATGCAAAGCAGGAGCTGCTGGAATGAGGGCTGGAAAATGGCCTGGACTGCCCAATACTGGTGCATTAAAGCAGCCTTCCTCTTTCAAACTGGGTCGTAGTCCAGCCAGGCTCTGGGCGTACCATCTTTAGATGGTAACATGTGAAGCCTGCTGCATTGGTGGTGCTGGAGCTACTGCTCATGCTTTTGAGTGGGGCTCAAGACTTTCTTCCCTAAGCCTTACCTGATGGTATCACCGAGGTTGAGGACAGAAAGCAAGAGAGGCAGCAGGAGGAGGAGCTTAGAGAGAAAGAGCTGACGATGCTATGAGCCCCAAGAAGCTTGCAGGGCAAAGCATGTCCTGAACAGCCACAGGTGATAGCAACACGATTGGCCCCACCACTGCAGAAGTTCTTTCAGCCAAGGCAAGATGGGCTGGAAAGATGCCAGCCAATCCAAGCATGGGAACTGCTCTCTGACAGTTCTGTGGCGACTGAGAAAAAGCTAGATAATGCTCCTCATATTATTACACTGGGCTGAACCCCCCCCCCCAAGTGAGTGAAGGAACTACTCCCTGGGTTCTCTTGTTGTTCCCGTCCTGCTATTAAAAATTAGCAGAGATTCAATTCTGCAAGGACTCCAAAAGATAAATGTCATCCCGCAAAGGTGAGACGGCAACACATGGGACACTAAGCTCAATAATGAACATCCAGGCCACCCTCTTTGGTACGCCCTTACCTATAAGAGGCAATGAGAGCCCTTGCACACTTAGTCACTTGCAACACAATAGTGTGAACTCTGTGGGCAGTGAATATGGCGGTTGTCAAACCACCATCTGTTCAGGAGTGCCCTGAGTCACCTGGCGACAGTGCTGTTTTTCTATTTAAAAAAAGAGTGTTGGAACTCACCATGAACACTTCCCTTGTTCACTTATAGCTTCATGGCAACTATATTTCTTGGGGGGAAAGTACTGAGTAGGACTTTGAAACTACTGGTTTAAAACTACTTTGAAAGTACTAGTTGCCTACTTAGAATTTCGACCCCAATGATCAGAATATGTGTGAGAGATGACAAATGTACCATATTTCTGTAACTCTATAATATGGCCTGTTGTGTGCAGCTGTCTGACTACAGGTGGAGTCTAAGAGGTGTAAAAGCCACCCATGTGTTTTAACATCTTAAACTGTACAATTTTAGTTTTCAAGCTAAAGCATCTTAAATAGATATACTATGAATAATTTCTCATTGTAACCTTTGATATCTTTTTAAAAAATAAAAATAGAACATGTTGCTTCACTTATTTTTAACAGCGTTAAAAAACCCAAAAGATTCCCACTGCCAATTCTAATAATGTAAATTGGCCGATCTTCCTGAAACAGTGGAGTAACAAGCTTATAAAACTGCCATAAATATTAATACTTCTCAAACACTAGGGCTGTTGCAACCATCAGAATATCTCATTTATTGCTGTACAGCAGGATAGACATTTCATTAAGGGTGTATGTGTAGTGTTGAACGAAGCGGGTGGGTGACTTTTGCACCTATGTCCTAGCAAAAAAAAACCCCACATCCCAGATTTTCCTTAGCCTAGGGATCTACCTCCATCCCTCTACCTGTGTGGAGTACAGGACCACCTTGATGTGGGTCACATCAACCATACCATATATTTAAAGCAAATTTAAAGCACTTTAATTGTCATGGCTTTCCTCAATGAACTGTGGGCGCTAGATTTCACCCTCCACCGATCTATAATTCCCAACATCCTTGACAAATTACTGTTCCCAAAATTATTTGGGGGAAGCCACATGCTTTAAATGTACATCACAGCCGTGGCCACAGAAAGAACACTAAGGCTGCAATCCTAACCCATACCTAGTGCTGCTGGATGGGGTTGGGATTGAGTGGACATCCCTAGCCACTGGGCTCCAGCAAGTCTCTGCAGCTGGGAAGGGCTCCACTGTTGCAGAGGCCTCTTTTGAAACCGCAAGAAGTACAGCAGAGGAAATATGGCCTCTGTGTAGATATGTAAAGTCCCAAAACAGGGTGTTATAAGGGTGAGGCTGGAACAGGGTTAGCCATGTGTCCCAAATTGCAAAAGCTTTAAAAGTCCTATAAGGTTTCAAACTGTGGTCTCACTTCTAAGTTTGAATATCTCAGCCTTATTTATTTATTTATTTCATAACATTCATATACCACATGATTGTAGGAAGAAAGAAAAAAACTAATGAGAAGACCTAAAGGCTGTCTCAAGAATCTAAATCCCTATATACCTTCTGTTATTTCCTTCCACCTTAACTATGACTCCAAACCAGCAACACCAGTTAGGATAGGGAAAAAGCTGGGAATAATCTGATTAAATTGATAAAAACAATAAAATCAAAATTTCTTTCGCCTTCAGGAAGCTCCTTTGTATCTTCTCCTATTGACCTGTTCTGCCTCCTCCCCGCCCCCCCCCCCCCAGCCCCATGGGGTAAAAGCTTTCGCTTCAGGAAGTTCAACCATATCTTCTTTGGCCCCTATTGGTAGGGAACACAACAAAATATCTGCCTCACACACTGCCTATGTTAAAATAATCACCAGGGCTTCACACTACATATCTTGAGAGAAAGAAAACAGTACATTGAAGGTGCATGCTCTAAATCCCATTGTTGGGCACAGTAATTACAAAAACCATTGAAATAATAAGGCAATTGCTGCATATAATGGTGACAGCTATTATGATAAAACTGTTATCCATTGCTTCATGTTTAATGGGCAACTGTTGCCAGTCAAGGATTTAATTTGTTTTTATGCTTGTCAGATTTAGGTTTGATCAAAGTGGGCTGAAAACAAAGACCAGTAAAATCCATGGCCCATTGAACAGTTATTGAAATGTCAGCTTACTTTTACTTTGTTTCATTTTGCAAATTGGAGTTATAACAATGAAGCAGTGATGAATAACCAAGCTCCTTTTTGTTGGTGTAAATTGTGACATATGCTCCAACGGGTGGATATTTTCACATGACGCACACACACAAACACCAGCATAGCACAGCAAGTGAGATTGGCCAATGACGAGAACAACATAAAAAGGAAGTGTTTGTCATGGTTGTGGGGCAGGGCTGGAAGAACCTATACATGCTACTTCAACAAAAAATTGAAAATTGCCATGGGGAGGACCTGAAGGGGAAGTATGCAGATGAAGAACTGCAGAAGAGAATGAGACACAGGAGAAGAGACCTTGCTGGAGCATTCTTTAGGTGGGAGAGATGGAAAGGGGTGGGTAGGTTAATCAGGGAAAGCAATCCTTGTCTTGGGTGGAGAGTCTGGGTGTAGGGTCAACGTGTACACAGATTAATGTGTTCCATGCTGAAGTCCTCCACTGTTTCGGCACCCCTTGGGCTGCAAATAGTGCCCAGTGGTGTTTAGCTTCCCTTTACAAGCCCAGCAAGCACACACAAGCCTAGGCTACCTTAGTGGCTAAAGTGATGAAGGAGTATACTCTTAGTTTCTGTGTGTTGCCACTGTGCAGTGCTCTTGGAGTCACAAGACTCTGTTTACATTCCAGAGATTCCAGGCTGTTAGAAGTCTCACGGAAGACAGGAGATGGATGTGATGTTACTGGTTTCCTGTTCCTTTGTTTTTCAGTTGCTCTCTGCTCTCACAGAGAAAGGATGTATTTCTTTTCTGTCTGCGTAGCTTAGTAATAAAACTCTTAGCATGTAGCTCATACTATCTCGTACATTCTGCTGCTTTGAAACTCTGCTGAATGAATTCCACAATGCTTAGAGCCTCATCAAAGGCTTAGGTTGTTAATTATCGTCAGAGGGCGATTGTGGAAGAGTCGCTCGGTCGAACGCAAGTCCGACATATACAAGTATGCAAATAAATATGGTTTTGTATTTATATAGACAGGATACCAACAAGGGTGGCTCCTGGGCACTGAGGCACTGTGGGCACTCCATTTTTTTTTTTAAAGGGGCCAGTCTTCCTCAATGTTCAGAGGAACGTGACATCATGCACGGGCCCCCTCAATTGTCTGGAGAGGCACCCCTCTGAACAGCAAAAACATCTTAACTGCATTCTCTGATGAGGCCACATGCCAGGCCTGAATAAGCCCAAATAATTAAGGTAAAAAATGTTTCATGTAAAAAGTGGGGGGCGGGAGCAATTTCTACGGTTCTGTCATCTCATCATCTGCCAACATATGTGGAGAGCAAAAATTTTCAGTGTACAGTATGTTCAGATTAGGTGATATCAGTAGACATCATAATAATGTGGTCCTGAAGCCAGAGAAAATACTAGCAGCTAGGAAAATGAGTTATGATGAGTGAATGCCCATCATTAATGCATTAACTAGAGGACTCCTGCAGGCAAAAGAATGGTCCAACCTTGAGTTATGGGCCTGACACTAGTAATGATGTGTAGTTCATTGGTGGGTTGATGGTTTCTTGTGAGATGGGAGATCAATAAATCACCAAATATGAAATCAGTTCTGTAGTGAAAAGAGTTATTGCAATAATGTCTAAATGTCAAATTATAAAGAAATGCACTTGATAATAGGCATGTTGCAATTCAGTTATGCACATACTATACTGCTTAAGAGGGGGAAAATATGTCAGGATTCACATAACAAGGTTTTATTTATTTTGTCTATGAGCACTAAAAAGGACATGTTGTAGCTATCAGTCTTAGGAGGGGGAGGGATAAGACGACATTGGAAGGGCTGTATGAAGGAATTGTTCAGTTAAGTATAGTGGTACCTCCATTCAAGAGGCCCGTTCGCAACCTGAAAGGAACGGAACCCGCACCTGCGGATTCGCCGCTTCTGCGCATGTGTGTGACGTCATTTTGCGTGTCTGCGCATGCGCGAGTGGTGAAACCCGGAAGTAACCCTTTCCGGTACTTCCGGGTCGCTGCAGGATGCATCCTGAAAACACTCAACCTGAAGCAAACATAACATGAGGTATGACTGTACTTTCAATGCCAAATTTAGCCAAGTGGAGGCAATGTTTCTGACACCTAGACATGTAGTTGAGGGTCCTAGTGCAAAACACGACTTGGGGAAATCGGAGAATTGTAAGGAGGCAGCAATTCTCTCTTGCTACATTACTAATATAATGTAAGCAAGGCTCACATTATTTAGATCTAGTACCTAAAATTGGGATGCAGTTGAGCTTTTGGGGGAAGAGAAACACTCTATTGTACCAATCTGTGTGTCTTGACCTAGCAAATCATCCTCTCTCTTTTTACAAATAAATTACTTCCAAATAGCCTGTTGCTTTTCATGAGTTACCATGAAGAGAATGAGTATGGATAATAGGAGTGAAATGAATTAACTCAGTAACAAAAACATGTTGCTGGGTCTCCTGGGTCATATAAAAATGATTCAGTTTAAGTCTGAGAAATAATTATGTCCACATTATACGATGACAGCTAAGGAAAATGGGGTGGGGATGAAGATAAGAAAAATAAAGCAAGAGAAGAACAGAAACTAGGCTATAACTTTTGTTCAAACCCTCTTTCAGGCTCCTTTTTTTTTTTTTTTGGTGCTGTTTAACCCTCAACAGAATTCATTGTATCTCGACATATGCAATTTTCCTTCCCCACAAATAAGTCTCTTAAATGTTGTCTGGCAGAGGCTACCCTTTATCATGATTCATTTACTGGCAGGTAAGAAATGGCCGTTTAAAGTCTAAGCAACCATGGTTCATGAACTAAAATTAGAAATAATACAAAGCAAAGACTGACTCTAACATGGGAGAACTGAACCATACATTAGATAAATGTGTAATGCAGAAGTAATTTAAAGACCTCTGTGACCAAATTCATGGCAGAAATCAAAATCTCTCTGTATGTTTTGGCT